AGCTTAATGTGGGAGGAAAGCCCGAAGTGATGCAGGTCTCAGACGTTTACCACTTCGGTGAAACCCACGAGCACAGGTATGGTGCTGACAAACCTAGAAACATAATCGGGGCGAACCGGGATTCGAATCCACAACCATAGGGACACAACTCTGCACAGCGAATCGCTGCGCCTTAGACGACTGGGCCCCCTACCTAAATAAGCACTGATGTCATTGCATGACTTTTCAAAACATATACCGAATGCAAGACAATATTAAAACAGAAAGTCCTATGCCGGTAGTTACCTGAAAAACGGGGGCATGGGTGGCCCAGTCGTGCAGTCGTGGCCCAAGGCAGTATGACATACCATAATTTTAAAAATGATAAGTAATTGATGATCAACATTGCGCTAAATAAATTATCGAGTTTGTAAAAAAACACTTCACATGTGGTTGATATTTTTTAAAATCATGTCTTGCAAAATCGACGTTTATTTATAAGCATTTAAAGAAGATTCAGAATGAAAGAAACGAATTAGTTCCCTTAAACGACTATTGAATAAAATTGCCTCACAAAATACATTTAATCTTTTGTACATTTTTTACTTATATTCCTTAACTCCCCTTGCCCTGGAAACGTTCGCTATATCGGCTCAAAGACGTATATAGATATATGTCTTTGATCGGCTAAATCTGTTCTTGGTGATATAAGATGACTCGTTGAACAGATCACATGTCGTACAAATGGAAAGGATTTTCGGCACAGGCGATCTAACTCAAACCGTAGCGTGGCTTTCACTCGATGACAGTAAGTAGCGTAGATCTGGTAGATATATCGGATGTGATCAACGGTTAATTTCCGGGGAGAGAGCAGTCGGGGCTTCGAGCATCTGCTGTCACTTGAGATGGAGAGATTGCTGTTGTAAAAATGTCCCTACCCCCTGCATATAGACTTGCTCAAGGCTGAACTCCTACAACAAAACAAAAAAATACAAAAACTCGTCACACGGTTATTTCTTTTGGTAATTAGCAAATCTAGATAGAACAAAGACGCCAGTGTTTTATTGGAACGAAGTTAATACAAACATTATTAAATGATAATACAGTAAACTACGGTTATACCGAACTCAAAAGGACCACTAATTGTAATTCGTTATATACGTTGTTCGTTATAAGCATATGCACAGCATAAATACAGCAAATGGTACCAAGAAATAGTTCGTTATAAGCGTGTTCGTTATAAACGTAGTGTACTGTAATTACTTTAGAGAGTATGCTATTCTAGGCCTATTTTCACTTGCACAGGAGGCGTTCATAGAGCACGTTTTTCATAATGCAATAATGATGATGATGATGATGATGATGATGATGACAACAATACCGACGGCCATACTTGTGATACTACTGAGTTCGAGTGTTGCGTTTAGTACCGCTTTTAGCAATATTGCACACTATTTCGACTATCTGTGTTTATGTGTGCTCTCCGATTTGTTTACGTTTATAAACGCGAATATATATTGAATTCATTTCTTATAAATAAATAATAATAACTTCATAGACTGTTTAATTAATGATATAACACACATAAAAGACTCTGACAGGGCCCCGTCCATTTTATTATCAGCCAATCAGGAAGTACTTCCGGGCAACATTTTGTTGCGTAAAATTATGATTAAATAAACAGCCTGTGAAGTGAAGTATTGAAGCTGTGACTTATATATTTATAAAAATCGACTTTAATATGTTTGGCGTTTATGAAGATATATACGTAAAATCAGACGTGCACAGCACTGCACACATTGCGTAAATCCATCGCTGTTTGTCCCGAACATGTCCAGCCATGACACCATAGCCACAAGCTAATTTGCATATCACGTGATCAGACTTTTATCTTGTTTGTAAACAAACGGGTTTATTTTGAAATCGGAGCAGACGGGGCTATGGAAGCCTCTCGGTGCGTTTTGATTCTTCTGTATACAAATAAAAATATGCAACAACGACTGTAACAATTGATGAGGACCAGGACAATTAAGCTTCACACATGAAAGTAATCGTATCGCCATCGGCTTCGATGTTTGCACGTGGAGCCGTACAACCGATGTCAACAAAGGAGAAATACGAAAATGGACCCGTGAAGATCCGGGGTAGAGCTGAGCTGTCAATATGCCTTTGACATTGCCTCCACGCGAAGATCCGGAGTAGAATAGGTCTTCAGCAACCCATGCTTGCCGTAAGAGGCGACTAACGGGATCGGGTGGTCAGGCTCGCTGACTTGGTTGATGCATGTCATCGTACCCAAATTATGTGGATCGATGCTCATGATGTCAATCACCGGATTGTCTGGTCCAGACCCGAATATTTACAGACCGCCGTCATATAGCTGGAATATTGCTAAGTGCGGCGTTAAACAACAAACAAACAAAACGAAAATGGAAATAGTTTGTCGTTGAATGTCAACTATTTAATGATATATGTTTATTAAAAATGTAAAAAAATGAAAAACAAAGGTAATTTGTTAAATGGATTGTGTAGGATGCGAGGAATCGTCAAATCGCGCTGGCCGGTAGCAGAGGTGCAAGGTTGACAGCAACGAGCATCTTCCCGAGGCAAAGGCGTTAACTGACTGTGAAAGTCCAGTTTCCAGTTAACGCCCTTGCCTCGGGATTATGAGATACGAGTAGTAGAGCGAGGTTAGCGACACATACACACACATCCAAGGACGTTGTCAAAGTGACTCAACATATGACGGCATCGCATGTAAAAAAATATATCTTTTATTTGATCTTTGAGGTAAAGATGGATTTATTACGAAAATAAGGCATTGAATCTCAGTCACGTGAGCAAGTTCCGTTACTTTCTATACATAGGCTTCACACACACACACACACACACACACACACACACACACACACTGACATCGTGCTGTATTTAATAAGAAACGAGAAAATAAGAAAATCGAAACGAAAAACTGTATTCCACATACTTGACAAGGGCTATTCCCCTGTCGAGATAGGTGTACTGTATTCAACACAATAACAACAACAGGCGACCTCTGACATTGCTGAGCGTGCCCAAATATCAGGCGTTTGCATTGTACACACGTCAGATCGGGTAACAATGTAGGGCCCCTCCTTTGAACGGGTACCTACGGCAAACATATCTGTTGGTAAACTCGGATCACCCATGACGTCAATCTATTGTGATCAGAACTTTTTTGCGTCGTGTACACATTTACTTTGTATTGATGTGAACCCCAAACAGCGGATGAATATTGTAGTGTCTCCAGTGTCACTACTTTCAGTGGCATTTAGAAGTTGGTGTGAGGAAGAAAGACAAGTTATATGGATGAACAACTTCTTTATTACAATTAGTGCGACGTTTCGTTTACTGTATAATATTGATGTTAATAAGTATATATACCTATGTTGTTCAGCACTATCCATCACGTGCTTGATAAAGGTGTTAGGATCTACACCGAAACGTCGCACTAATTGTAATAAAGAAGTTGTTCATCCATAGAACTTGTATTTCTTCGTCTCCAGTGTCGACCGCATTTCGACGCTACCCTATATCAATTGTGCAGTTGTGAGATCATTTAACAAAATATGTATGACAAATTATCAAACGAAAAATGTGAACATTACGTTATGATTGCAACATTTTGTATGTATTTAATAGTATGAAATTATTTCCTCGAAGATGTTTTCACATTTGGCAATCGCTTTATATATAAATATGCAGGTTCATATACATTATATATATATTTAAAGACAAATGCGAAAAAAATACTGAAACTCGATAACGTAAATGAGTTGGATTGTCCGTGAAGCGCACCAGATGGAATACCACGTGGGCAATAACCGATATAACAACAGATGTTGCCCGTGTGGGGCCGCTCCCCACCCCCCACCCCCAGGACCTGATTGATTAACATTACTTGTCATATACACAAATGCAATTAGCACAGAACTGGACGCGAAGAATCACTGCGTAACGGCATCTGGCCTTACCATCAACATCATGGTACACACGGGGCACGTGTAGAAAGACGGATCACATTTCCTTTGAAATATCCTGAATTGAGAGCTGTGACACAGGGCGATTAGATGTAACATAACAGGCCGATGTTTACTCGTGTACATGTAAACGTGGGATATGTTTTCCTTATCTGCGCATATTTCATCTGTAGTCCCTTAATACCGGGCGTGAAAATATGGGCCAATCGATCGTTCAGCACACTGTCCATGGGATATAATATTACACATTGTAAAATGTTAGTGTTGAATATCTCCATATATTACGAGACATATTACCGAATATTGATAATTCAACAATTGATTTTATAATCATCTAACAGTTGTTTTTCCTTATGTACATTGGCGGTGTGTGTGTGTGTGTGTGTGTGTGTGGGGGGGGGGGGTTGAAAGCCAGATGTAGTTTTTAAAAATGCTGAATCCGCCCCTGATTTATACCTTATTTCCTTCAAATAAATTTTCTAAGGTTTCATGGAAATCGACATTTTCGATTAAAATAACGCCCCTAACTTAAAATCGGACATGAATTACGACACGTTCAGATCAATACACCAAGCACTTTCACGGATCTAGATAAATGTTAACTAGGTCCTTGTACTTCTGACAAAAGAGATAGAAAACAAACTTAATATTACATGCAACATATTGCACTTTAAGCGTCCCCCTGACGCAGTCTCTCTCTCTCTGTGTCTCTCTCTCTCTCTCTCTCGCACGCTCATTGTAAAATACCACTTTTAAACAATTTTCCAATTCAAATTTACGAGTCTATAAGGAATATATTTACTATTCACAAATTACGAGTCATCGATCTTACATAACACTGTCGATTAACCACAATTAACAATCAGTAATGTATAGCGCCCATGAATTGGTCAATCCGTTACGTCACAGGGCTAAACGGCAGCTGTGGAAACTTTGGTAAACGCGATACCACATCGCCTGACAATAGGAGTTATCGTTCTTTGGTAAACCACCGCTAGGTGCAGATACGCGATCGTCTGCACTCAAGGAATTGGTGGTGTAAGCGAGGGAAGAAGTAAGAGACACACGGCTGCTTCAAATGCCATGGAACGGTAACGACGGGAATGCACAGTTTCTTCAAAGGATGAGTGGGGGATAGACTCAGTGTGAAAGTGCATAGCTTATAGATCGATGTTGTAGTTTACTCGTCAAGTTTCGTCTGCTACTGCTAGTTGGAATATCAATCCTGTGTGCGCTATGTGTTTTTGACATCGAATTTATCGTCGACAGCAAGCATTAACCCGCCGGTGCACTAGATTTTCATGATACAGGCTTGTACACAAACGGACCCTAGCTTTGCTTGTATCAACGACTGTGGAGTGGTTTCTATTAGCATGAAAATACTAATGCATTAGGTGTCGACTCGGTAACAACAGCTTGCGAGGGAGTAAGGCAGGCCTGTCTGCCGCAATATAACTGGAGTGTCGGAAAGTCGCCTGTGCCAAACCCTTCGCTACCTTACACGGTAGCTAGCGCCTTTGACTCGAGCTGTCTTTCTAAAGATAGATTTTCGCGTAGTATTACATGTGTAGTCTTACTAGTAAAGAGAAATCCGGACCTTGTGCTTTACTACCATTTCTACTGATACCTGCCTATTGATTTCATTGACTGTTCACAAGAGCGATAGGTACACAACAGCTTTTTTCATTGGACAAAAACAAAATGTGCGAACCCAGCAATCGGACCTGGTAAGACTGGTAAGACTGTTCAGAGAGGCAGACGTATACACACAAATTTATATATATATATATCAGTATATTGACTGAATGGATATTTGTGCCGTGTATTCTAAAGAGAAGCTCACTTAAATATTTTTTGTTTATTACCAGAATTTCAGCCATTCCATACCTTTAATCATGGGTTTTATGAAATACTTTTCTGGATTTACTAGGAGCAAGGGTTCCCTTCAAGCAGGTATTGGGGTTGTGTTTGTTTTGGCAGTACTGCTAGACCTCACTTCAGTGTCTCTAGCCACGACAACTACAACTACATCCCCAGTTGCAGGTTCATCTACAGCTTCTAATAATGAGAGTGATAAGAATACATGTGACAGGACAGCATCACCATGCAAAAAAGGTGTTCTTATTCCACTTTGGTCACCAACTGGAGATCTAAGTGTTGGAGACAAAGCTGCAAGGGCAACAGTTTATATGACCGCAATTATTTACATGTTTTTGGGAGTATCCATCATTGCGGATCGCTTCATGGCTGCCATTGAAGTCATCACATCCAAAGAGAAAGAAGTTGTCATCAAGAAACCCAATGGTGTAACCGCTGTTGTAAACGTTCGAATTTGGAATGAAACTGTCTCTAACTTGACTCTCATGGCTTTAGGATCATCAGCTCCAGAAATTTTGCTATCTATTATTGAAATATGTGGAAACAAATTTCAAGCTGGAGATTTAGGTCCAAGTACAATTGTGGGAAGTGCTGCATTTAATTTATTCGTCATCATTGGTCTATGTGTATATTGTATCCCAAATGGTGAAGTTCGACGCATTAAACATCTGCGTGTATTTTTCATCACTGCAACATGGAGTGTGTTTGCCTATCTCTGGTTGTACTTCATCCTATCTATTTCATCTGTTGGAGTCGTTGATTTGTGGGAAGCTGGACTGACATTGTTATTCTTTCCAGCAACTGTTGCAACAGCATATGTTGCGGACCGAAAAATCCTCATTTACAAATTTTTGTCCAAAAAGTATCGTACAGGCAAGAGGAAAGGTGTTGTTATCCAAACAGAAGGGGATGCTGAAATGGCAGCAAGTCCCGAAGATGATGTCCAGTTCAAAGGAATAGATGCTGAGGATTCCGATGTCAAGAACTTTGAACAACACAGAAATGAATTTATCGAAATTATGCGTGAGCTGAGGAAGAAAAATCCAAACTTGGACATGAAAGCTCTTGAAGAAATGGCTGAATATGAAGCTGTAAACCGTGGACCTAAAAGTCGAGCATTCTACAGAATCCAGGCTACCAGAAAACTGACTGGTGGTGGCAATGTCATAAAAAAGGCAAAGATTGAACGAAGGGCCAGTGTAGAAGATGTTAAAGTTGAAGTTCGTGGTGATCCCAATGTCACCAAGGTCTTCTTTGACCCAGGACACTACACTGTCATGGAAAACGTTGGTACCTTCAATGTAACAGTGAGCAGGGAAGGAGGGGACCTTAGTAAGACCCTCTATGTTGATTATAAGACCGAGGATGGCACTGCCAATGCAGGTTCTGACTACATGTATGCTGAAGGGACCCTGGTGTTCCAACCAGAGGACATCCACAAGCAGTTCCCACTCGCCATCCTTGATGATGACATTTTTGAAGAAGATGAACATTTCTACATTCGTCTGAGCAATCTTCGTCTGGGAGACTCACAAGGCATGTTCGAAAGCGGAACACAGAATGCCAAGGCCGAGTTGGATACACCGTTCATGGCAACTGTAATGATCCTTGATGATGACCATCCAGGTATCTTTCATTTTGATGAAACTGAAGTTACAATTACTGAGTCTGTCGGAGAGATGGGTATTAGAGTTGTCCGGTCGTCTGGTGCGCGTGGAATAGTCAAAGTGCCGTACCATGCAGTTGATGGAACAGCAAAGGCTGGACGTGACTATGAAGTTGAATATGGTGAACTTACCTTTGACAATGATGCAACTGAGTAAGTATTTGTTTGGATTTCTTGTCCTATTTAACATGCTCCATTAACTGTTAATCTGATTGATATTAACATGTTATTTTCAGGGCTGCGAATAATTATTAGTGTTATCATTCAGATGTCATAGCTGAGACACACAAAAAGATCATGAACTCACACACATGCCTTAAAATACTGTATGAGCAAGCAGCCCAATGTTAAGGGTATCAGACGAACAGAAATGTCTGAAATTGTCAAACAATTTTCATTTAATTTTATATCCCTAAGAGATTCATTTAATAAAATTCACCACTGTAGCAAATGAAAATTTCAACATTGATTTATGTATGAATCTAAAAATCCCAAACTAAATAAATAAACTTTGATAGTGCAACATGATTTCAATGTTAATCAACATTATCAAGACATCTAATCCATGTGCATACTCGTAATCAGGTAAATGAACATGGCTCACTTCAGGCTCGTAAATTAAGTACCCATGTTCATGTAAATCCTTTCAGTAGATCCTAATTTGTTCCTGATAACGGAACCATTTCCTGCCTCTGGGACCATGGACTGGCCGGTAGGTTTTTTACACAAGAAATACTGGCAAGACCAGGGAAAATGATATGCCAATTAGCCCTGTGTACTTCAGGCCCCCAGCAGGCACAGGAGGTATAGACAGTGTAGGAGAACATCTTCAAAATGCAGAGAGCCATGAGATAAATTGCACTAGTGTTTAACAAATGATAGCTTTTCACGAAATATTAGTACTCCCGCTGACAAGATACTGGTGTCAGGTTTATGATTGATTGAAGCTTTGTCAGTTTACAATTAGAGGGATACAAAGTATTAGATGGTAGTTTTGCCTTTTACAGATTAATGTGTTCCTGGTTATGCAAATGTATATTTGAGTTTATTTATACTGAGCCACAAGGAACAGCTTGGACTGTCATGGATTAACACAAAACGAGTTAGTGTCCTGCTTCATAGTGTCAGTCACCATTATGCCACAGAAAGTCAATGAAATGTCAGACCTATTGACTTGGCTGCAGGAAATGTTTGATATGTAAGCTGTTTTATATATGCTGTTGACCTAAACTTATTCTTGACTCTGCAACAGGCCAACTGAAACATGCAGAGTCGTTAACCTCTTTTATTCTTTTCTTGATGTTTTTGCCATTTAGGACATGTAGGAATGACAATGAACATGTTACTGCATTTTTATGAAGCAAGGATGTGTGTCTCTTTGAAGCCGTTCGATACCTCCACTCAGTGATATTTGTACCTACTTCCTCCCCAAATCATCCTGATCCAGCTTGGTTTGGCATGAGTTTACCATTGTTGTATTGAACAGTTTGTGTCCCTTTTATCCTTGATACCTGAGTTTCCATGTTTATCATCAATTTGTGAGACTTGACAATTCAATATATTCTGGGTGGCTATTTTATGTGCGAGGTTTTTAAGGGATATTGTAAATATTGCAGTATGGAAAAAGAATGGTCTTCACAAACTATACTGTGTAGCTTTGTTCGGTTTAACTTAGATCTGTTGTCTCATAGATGAACACTTTGACCATGGTGCTATACCAACTTCCACCAGAAATTAAACACAGTAATATAATTCATGGTATCAGCGGCACAAAATTCCACATTAACATCAGATTGTGATATGGTAAATATTTATTTATATTATGTTTACTATATGAAGCAGTCAAAAACAATAAGTCAAAATGTCTTTCTTTAAAGACAATGTCTCAGAGGCATCTATATTAAGTGTAATTAAACATTGGGGTACCGCTAGAGTCTGGTACACCATGTGGTGTCGTGAACTAATTCGAGAAAAAGGTAATCAGTTCTTGACAAGAATCGAGGATTCGCATTTAGTCTATTTCCTATGAAGATATGAGTGAGTGAGTGAATGAATTGGGTTTAAGGCTGCTTTTAACAGTATTCCAGTCATATCATGGCATGTCAGCTGAATGTGGGAGGAAGGCCTGAAGTGATGCAGGTCTCAGATGTTTACCGCTTCGGTGAAACCCACGAGCACTGGTATGGTGCTGACAAACCTAGAAACATAATCGGGGTGAACCAGGATTCGAACCCACAATTATAGAGTTCTGGCGTGCCCAAGGGACGCAACTCTGCACAGTGAATCGCAGCGCCATAAACGACTAGGGCACCTGTGCCCCCTATGAAGATATGAAGTGGTAGTATGATTGTATAAGAAGGATACATATGTGTCCTGTACAGTGTCACAGGGTATCACCAACCATATGAAAACTCGAGTCATGACTGCCTGCATAGTGTTTTGAGTCATGAGCACAATGCAAAGGGCCATGCATGAGCTCAACATTAAGTTTACAAGTTATTGATGAGAATATGTATAGTTATGAACATTCAGTTCTTATAATGGTAACATATCCGAAACCCTCAAAAATGGGAAATTTCTACTAGTCCTTATGATACCTTAACTATTGGGGAGTTGGTAAGGACTATCAAACTAGTGCCAATTTCGCGTGCTGATTTACAGTTCATTGGTTGTGTTTGAAGTAATTAATAGTAACACTCACTGATAAAGATGTGTTGCATAACAAATATGATATCAGGACTATTTTGAATGAAATTTGTGTCAAGTATGCAAGATTCCTTCATCATGTGTGTAGACAGACCATGGCTGCCCTACAAATCGTGACTCCAGACACATGGCTCTGTGTGCATCTCTCTGATTTGTTATTATCCTCCCACAGAGAAATAAGGATACGAAACTAAGTAATTCATCCCCTGCCCTCAGTCTCTTGTGGGTCGGAGCAAATGCTGACATTTCCGTAACATCTTGAGAAGGTGTTGGGGTGCTGCGCTGGCCATGAATAAACCGTTAGGTGCATTCCGAGACGGAAATAGATGAATATTCATACTGTCCTATCAATTGCTGTTATTGTATTCCGCTTTCACGTCTTTCTTCTCTGTATGTCAGGGATAGTATATTATAGCCTATTTTTGTTATGTCATATTTTCATATTTGTCATTTTATGTCAATAATGTGAATAAGGCACAAAATTGATTGGTCTATCAATAGCTGAATAGCTTCAGTTCCCTTCCAGAATTTCTTATCAGGACTATAGAATATTATTACAATGATCATCTCAGTACATCAATAATAAGACTATGTATATCAGGTAATTATCATATATGGTTAAAATATTATAATCAACACATCACAAGCTGCATTGTGTAATGTAAAACAGTGTCAACTGGATAACAAATAGGGCAGCCAAATTGTACAAATAGACTGCCTAGATATTTTGGGAGATTAGAAAAGTAGTCAGGAAAGTGATACTGTAAGCAAGGATTATATCCTACCTTAATATTATCCCGGGGGAAGTTTTACCGGTACTCTAGAGTATAGTATCCTACCTTAATATTATCCCGGGGGAAGTTTTACTCTAGAGTATAGTATCCTACCTTAATATTATCCCGGGGGAAGTTTTACTCTAGAGTATAGTATCCTACCTTAATATTATCCCGGGGGAAGTTTTACTCTATAGTATAGTATCCTACCTTAATATTATCCCGGGGGAAGTTTTACTCTTGAGTATAGTATCCTACCTTAATATTATCCCGGGGGAAGTTTTACCGGTACTCTAGAGTATAGTATCCTACCTTAATATTATCCCGGGAGAAGTTTTACTCTAGAGTATAGTATCCTACATTAGAGCCACACTGGTATGGGTTCAAATTCACTAGGGAAAATCATCCTGTCACAAGAGAATTTCATCCCCGGAATAAAAAATAGGGTAGGATAATATTCACTCTTACAATACATGGGTTGCAGGCTCTGGTAATTAAGGAGAGACAACTCTTTTCACTGCAGCTATTAGTGACTACAGCAAATTCTTCTTTTTCTGGACATTGTCATTTCTATTGAAATTGTCCAGATTAACAAATTTCCTGATTTCCGTATCATTGTAACAGGGTGATGTTCTTGGTCAACATGTAGATGTTCCAAACTGCCATTGTCTAACATGGCAAAGCTGTTGGGGTTTCAATGTGGGTGTTGGCAAAAGGCTGTACACACTTTCATTATTTGTCAGGGCATTTCAGATTGCTCCTGGGTAGTGCTTGCTTTCCCTCATACAGAAACATTTTGTTGTAAAGAGGTATGTCCCTTGAGCACATCAGAATCTATGTTATCAAATTCACCCTGGTAAAGGTCTACGACCTGCATCACTTTTGGCACAAATCCTTCATTGTGCTGTACCATCATGATGTAGCAGAAATACTAAGCATTGTTAAAACTCACTCACTCACTCACTCACTCACCATTATTTGGAATTTGAATTGGCATCGATCAAAAGTGTATGCGCTAATGTTTATAGGACTGTAAAGCTTTGAACTTATATCGCAATTGTGAACACTAACCTTTGTAAGAAATGTATTATCTTTTTACATGCAAACTTAATCTATATAGCTGAATAATGAATGAATAATCTGTTGTAAATGTGATTATGTAAGCTGCTGATAACAGTGTTGCAGATAAGATACATGATCATAATGACGGTACATTTGGGTGCTGTTGATAGCCTTTCATAATTTATAAGTGGTATGTAACCTTCATTACTTATAGCTGAGGGGAGGTAACCGAGAGGGATTAGATATCAACAAGGTTAGTCCTTTTCTCGCCTGCCAGACAAGAGTCGTATAATAAGATTAACCTGAAAACTAATCATGTATTAAAAGCCTCAGTCTGATACCATGTGGATTAGTTGTACTTCATTGATGGAGTCCACGGTGTAAGGAGGCGGTTGCGATAACTTTCTCTTGCTGATAAGAACGAGGAAACTTCCTCATGGACAATTAGAACTGATAATTGTACTGGGGAAATAAATACGTCTCAGGCAAAGAAAAAAGACTTCGTTTTCCGTCTACTTGATACAAGGGTTTTTCTCATGAGCCTAATGTTGAACGTTAAAGACTTGCGACCATGACTTGGAAATTTTTAATTTAATTTAAGGATGTTTACTG